TTGGATGTGGTGATGCGCAGCTTGTCCAGGGGCATCTTTTCATCTTATACATACAATAGTCACCAAGGCCTGAGGCCTTAGGGAGGACAGAAATTCCTACGGGTGACACAAGGACAGGCAGTGGAGAACAGCTCCACTGCCCCCCCCAACTCCACGCGGTGCCTTCATGCTGGCACAAAATGTGTGGGCAGCGAGCACAAACACATTCTCTGAATCCTCCAGATGATTATGCATCCCTTAAATCCAATAACCTCAATTCATTCTGCTTTTCCTGGTGTCATTCTACATTGTAATTCATTCATTTACACTTTCTTTGAGAAATCGGCTCATTCTCTGGATTCTTCTCCTCCATTATTAATGCTACCCTTCCTTACTTTCCTCTTACCCCTCGTTCCTTTCCTTCCTCCCTTCCATCCTCTCATCAGTGGACTTGGGTCCCATACTCTTAATTTGGCCTTTCTCTCCGAGGGAGGACTCTCTTTATAAAAGGCTTGTCGTTTCCCAATACTGATTTGAGTATCACTAAGCTGCACCTTCACACATATTGTTGTCTCACACCTTGTGCCAAATATTCCTTTGTAAAGCCTTCCCCCATCCCCTGCCTGCACCTGGTAGAGATAGTGTTCTTTCAGCCGCAGGCTCTGCCTTCTATACAAGCAGGGCTAGGATGGCACAAGCAGCACACAGCTGTTCCCCTTGGTAAATTGATAGTGAAGGGTAGTGGATGGGGCTTTGAAAGCGCCTTGTGCTATTTTTGTGACAGTTGTAGATTTTTTTTGCTGTTTAATTCAATGTGACCAATTATGCTCCCGCGATCCTCAGCAGGGGAGCTTGGAGAGCAAATTAATACTTGACTTCAAAAAGTTTTCCTAAAGTGCGTTTACATTCTTCATCCTGTTTTTTTGTTTTTTATTTTTTCTCTGATTCAAATACAAGTCATTAGAAAGGGACCTGGTCTCACTTCCTGCGCTGAGACCATGTGTGTTCTTTGTGTCTGGCTTGGCTTTAAACTTCTTCTCTGCCTCAGCAACAAACTGTTAAAGTCTAAACAACAAGCTTACTTTCATTATTTAATAGCAAAACTTAGGTGGGAAAAGCAGAATACAGAAGAACAGTGACTGCCCCTTTGGGTAAACAGCAGCCCACAACACACCCATCACCTTGTGCTTCAAGGACTCTTTGTAAACATAAGTACCACACACACTCACAGGCTAAACCCACTGTAATACCGAAATCCCGCTTTTCCCTCACACCACTCGCTCTCTCCTGGGTGGATTGCCTTAATGAGTGCTCCTAGGAGTGAATACATGTGTAAGTGGCCTAATGACGCCTAAACCCATCCATGAGCAGACAGAGGGGGAGAGAAAAGAGCGGGCGAGAGACAGGAGGAGTGGGGTTGAGGAGGGGATGCCAGGGTCATGCTTGTCGTGAGAGGCGGATTGGAAGGCCACGCTGGCGTGAGGGAGCACAGCTTTGAGTAAAGCAGCTTGTTTCAGAGAGGGATTGTGTTTGCAGACCCTACTCACAGAGAGCGAGTGTGTG